AAGGGTAGAGATATCTGATATATTCACAAGTATGTGAGAATTAAATCACACCAACAGTGGATGGCTGAGAGGTGAAAGAAGAAACCATAAAGGAAATTTAAAAATCTCTAATCAGGGATGCCTGGGTGGCTCAGTTGGTTGGACGACTGCCTTCGGCTCAGGTCATGATCCTGGAGTCCCAGGATTGAGTCCCGCATCAGGCTCCTGGCTCCGTGGGAGTCTGCTTCTCTCTCTGACCTTCTCCTCGCTCATGCTCTCTCTCACTGTCTCTCTCAAATAAATAAAATCTTTAAAAAAAATCTCTAATCAAATGAAAATGAAAACAAAGCCTATTAGAACTATTGGGATGTTGAAAAGCAGCTCTAAAAGGGAAGTTTATAGCAATAAATGCCTGCATTTAAAAAAAAAAAAAACCTTAAGTAATCTCACTTTATGATTCAAAGAGCTACAAAAAGAAAACAAACTAAGTCTAAAGCAGCAGAGGAAAGTAAATAACAAATATCAGAGCATACAGAAATGATATATATACCATCAAGCCAAAAGAAAAAAAAAACTAGGAGCCAAGTTTTTGAAAAGTTAAGCAAAATTAACAAAGCTTTAGTTAGACCAAAGAAAAGGGGTGAGGGAGAAGATGCAAATATATAAAAGCAGCAGCAGAATGCCTGGGTGGCTCAGTTAATTCTGAGTTAAGTCTGTTAAGTCTGTTAGGTGTGAGCCCCACATCCAGCTCCATGATCAGCATGGAGTCTACTTCTCTCTCTCCCTCTATTCCTCTCCCCTGATCTCTCGGTCTCTCTTCTTAAATTTAATTTTTTTTTCAGTGTTCTGAGATTCAATGTTTATGCACCATACCCAATGCTCTATACACCACATAAATGAATAAATAAATAAATAATCTTAAAAATAATTAAAGACTTCTTTTTTAAATCAGCAGAAAAGATGATGCCTTACAACGGATACCAATACAAAGAATCATAGGAGACCATTGTGAAAAATTTCACTCCAACAAATCGTACACTCTGAAAACATGGATAAATATCTGGAAATGTATAACCTACCAAGACAAAATCAGGTAGAAATAGGGGATATGAACAAATGACTAATGAGTAAGGTGATTAAATCAGTAATCAAAAATCTCCCAGCAAAGGAAAGCTCAGGACCAGAGAGCTTCACAGACGAATTAATCATTTCAAGAAGAATTAATGACAGTCCTTCTCAAACCCTTCCATTAACTTACAGAAGAGGGCACATTCACAATCTCACTTTACACAGCCAGCATTACCCTGATACCAAAGACAGAAAAGTTCAGTACAATAAAAGAAAACCATAGGGACACCTGGGTGGCTCAGATGGTTAAGAATCTGCTTTTGACTCAGGCCATGATCTCCAAGTCCTGGTATCAAGCTCCATGCCTGGCTTCCAGATAAAGGGGGAGTCTGTTTATCCCTCTCCTTCTGCCTCTCCCCCTGATTGTACTATCTCCATCATTCTCTCAAGTGAATAAATAAAATATTTAAAAAAAGAAAACCATAAATGGATATCCCTGATGAACATAAACACAACATTTTTCAAAAAATATTAGCAAACTGAATTATATTTTTCAAAAAACTGAATATTTTTCAAAAAATATTAGCAAACTGAATTCATATTGAGGAGGATATATACCATGATCAAGTGGTACTTATCCCTGGGATACAAGGAAGGTTCAACGTATGCAAATCAATAAATGTGATATACCCCATTAATATAATGAAATATAACAATCATATGATCATCTTGATACATGCAGAAAAGGTTTTGACAAAATACAACAGCCTTTCATGGGTTCAAAAAAAATTTTCAACAAACTAGTTATACGAGGAATATACTTCAGCAAAAAGAAGACCATATATGACAAACCCACAATAACATTGTACTCAAATGGTTGGTTAATGGTTAGAAAACTTTAACTCTGAGATCAGTAACAAGACAGGGGTGTCCACTCTCATCCACCAAATGTGAGAACACAGCCAGGATTAGCAGAGCACTTACAGCTGACCAACAGCTGACTGCACCCTCATGAGGACAGCAGAAACCAGAAGACTTCCCCATCAGACTCCCACGTGATTTAAAAAAAAAAAAAGTTTCATCTTATATTTACTTTTTGCATGGCTTGTTATGCAGCAATAGCTGACTGATACAATAATCAATATAACAGAACTGAGAGTATTAACAATAATCTATTTCTTCTTATTTTTGATATTTTTATGATATTTGAAAGATCTATTCATAATGCCCTAGTTATTCACATTTATTTCAGATAGTTGTACTAGAAAGTGGCTACCATTGAGTTTTCCATCCAGATAACTGGTAGAGATTAGAAAGACCAATATGTTTGTTTTTATAGGAAAATATTGTGGGACTCTCAGTCACAACTTTCCATCAGCAGAACATTATTAGTCGATTCCAGCTCTTGTCTGAGTCCTCCTTTGAACATAGGATGGAAGAGAGTTTAGATAATAAAAAAGGTAAAGAAATTAACAATGGAGTGAATACACTTATTGTTCATTCACAGTAAACATTAATGAGAACATTTTTTAAAGATTTTATTTTATTTTATTTTTATTTGACAGAGAAAGAGAGAGAATGAGATCACAAGTAGGCAGAGAGGCAGGCAAAGAGAGGTGGGGGGAAGCAGGCTCCCCACTGAGGAGAGAGCCTGATGAGGGGCTCAATCCCAGGACCCTGAGATCATGACCTGAGCCAAAGACAGAGGCTTAACCCACTGTGCCACCCAGGCACCCCTAATGACAACATTTTTTTAAAATTTCTTTTCAGCGTAACAGAATTTAATGTTTTTGCACCACACCCAGTGCTCCATGCAATACATGCCCTCCATAATACCCACCACCTGACTTCCCCAACTTCTCACCCCCCAACCCTTCAAAACCCTCAGATTGTTTTTCAGAGTCCAAATTCTCTCATGGTTGACCTCCCCTTCCAATTTCCCTCAACTCCCCTCTCCTCTCCATCTCCCCATGTCCTCCATGTTATTTCTTACACTCCACAAATAAGTGAAACCATATGATAATTGACTCTCTCTGCTTGACTTATTTCACCCAGCATAATCTCGTCCAGTCCCGTCCATGTTGCTACAAAAGTTGGGTATTCATCCTTTCTGCTGGAGGCATAATACTCCATAGTGTATATAGACCACATCTTCCTTATCCATTCGTCTGTTGAAGGGCATCTTGGTTCTTTCCACAGTTTGGTGACCGTGTCCATTGCTGCTATAAACATTGGGGTACAGATGGCCCTTCTTTTCACTCCACCTGTATCTTTGGGGTAAATACCCAGTAGTGCAATTGCAGGGTCATAGGGAAGCTCTATTGTTAATTTCTTGAGGAATCTCCACACTGTTTTCCAAAGTGCCTGCACCAACTTTCATTCCCACCAACAGTGTAAGAGGGTTCCCCTTTCTCCACATCCCCTCCAGCACATGTTGTTTCCTGTCTTGCTAATTTTGGCCATTCTAACTGGTGTAAGGTGCTATCTCAATGTGGTTTTAATTTGAATCTCCCTGATGGCTAGTGATGATGAACATTTTTTCATGTGTCTGATAGCCATTTGTATGTCTTCATTGGAGAAGTGTCTGTTCATATCTTCTGCCCATTTTTTGATATGATTATCTGTATTGTGTGTGTTGAGTTTGAGGAGTTCTTTATAGATCCTGGATATCAACCTTTTGTGTGTACTGTCATTTGCAAATATCTTCTCCCATTCCGTGGGTTACCTCTTTGTTTTCTTGACTGTTTCCTTTGCTGTGCAGAAGCTTTTGATTTTGATGAAGTCCCAAAAGTTCATTTGTGCTTTTGTTTCCTTTGCCTTTGGAGACATATCTTGGAAGAAGTTGCTGTGGCTGATATCAAAGAAGTTACTGCCTATGTTCTCCTCTAGGATTCTGTTGGATTCCTGTCTCACGTTGAGGTCTTTTATCCATTTTGAGTTAGTGTATGGTGTAAGAGAATGGTTGAGTTTCATTCTTCTACATATAGCTGTCCCATTTTCCCAGCACCATTTATTGAAGAGACTGTCTTTCTTCCACTCTAATTTTTTCCTGTTTTAATGACAACATTTTTAAAAGGGGAAATATTAAGTTTAGAGCAATGGAAGGAGTAATATTTGTCAGCAGTACTGGAAATTTTCAAATAGAAGCAGCTAAATCATCCAATTAAATAATATAAAATCTGTCACTAGATTCTTCACTCCAATTAATAAAACCCTGTAAACATGGCCACCAAATAACCCACACTTGAATAGATGAGTAGATGAACATCATCAAAGACACATTTTCTGCAATAAAATATGGTGTGATAGAAAAATTTTACTTGATGATATTTCAGGTTTTCTCGATATCAAGCCCATATTAAGTCACCTTGTTTAGGCAAATTTGTCTTTCTGTAGATTACACTTGCGTTGTGTTTTTATAAGCCTTACTATTCTGTGGCAGGGATACTGTGGATGCTGAGCTGATAAGACAATGAGATCCTAATGAGGATCACAAAGGCCCATGACGAGGTACAAAACAAACTAGCAGGTTAAAGTCTATATTATCAGCATGAGCAATTAAGATAGTAATATAGGAATGAATGGTGGACACAGAGTGAAACTCTGTGATCTCAGAATGTCCTCTCCAATAAAATTGTAAAAATGGCCTCAGTTTCCAAATGTCATTTAATCCATAAATACAGTACAGTTCATCACTGTATGAGATGAATGGAAATCTCCAAATTGTTCCTGATTGAGGGTTGGGACCAACTTCAGCAACTAAGAAAGAAAAAAGACAAAATTACTGGCTAGCAGAAGGACCAGAAAGTTTAATAAGGCTGCTGAACAAAGAAAAAGTTAAATTCTAGGATACAAATAGAGGATTAAATTCTTCTTTCATGATCTGATTAAAGATTCACAATTCCTAGCTATTAAGCATCAAGCCTGCAATTACATCTTGAAAAATAGCTCCTTTATGGCTTTCTCTTGAAAAATACAATTAGAGTCCCCTTTATTTCTTTGTTCTTCAGACTGTAGATGAAGGGGTTCAGTATGGGTGTGACCACTGTGTACATCACCGAGGCTACTGCACTCAAATGGGAGCTCTGGGGAGCAGCAGAGCTAAGGTACACTCCTAAGCCTGTACAATAAAATAAAGAGACAACTGAGAGGTGAGATGCACAGGTGGAAAATGCTTTGTACTTCCCTTCAGCTGATGAGATCCTACGTATAGAGGAAACTATCTTAGAGTAAGAGCAAAGGATGCCAGTCAGAGGAGCACCGACCAACAGCACAGTTGCAAAATACATCACCAAGTTATTCAGAAAGGTATCAGAACAGGCAAGTTGGATCATCTTATTGAGTTCACAGAAAAAGTGGGGGATTTCCACCTCTGTACAGAAGGACAGCTGTGACATCATTAAGTTTTCTAACAAGGAATGCAGGGTACTCATGATCCAAGACACCAAAACCAGCAATCCACAGAGCCGGGGGTTCATGATGACCATGAAGTGCAGGGGGTTACAGATGGCCACAAAGCGGTCGTAAGCCATCACAGTAAGGAGGAAGTTGTCCAAACCTATAAAAAGTATGAAAAAGTACATCTGCATGATGCAGCTTTCATAAGTTATGGCTTTTCTCTGTGTTTGTATATTTACTAGCATCTTGGGGATGGTGGTGGAGGTGAAACAGATGTCTACAAAGGACAGGTTGGAGAGGAAGAAATACATGGGTGTGTGGAGGTGAGAGTTTGAGCTGACAGCCAGGATGATGAGCAGGTTCCCAAGTAGAGTGACCAAGTACATGGACAGAAACAGCCCAAAGAGGAAGGGTTGCAATTCTGGTTCCTCAGAAAATCCCAGAAGAAGAAATTCTGAAATTTGGGTATCATTCTCTACTTCCATGTCATTGATGTCACTACTAAAATAAGAGAGAAAGAGCATGACAGAATAATGCATTACAAGGCTGGGATATATATTATTGTTTATATTCTGCACTCAAGAAATTTATGTTTATATTTCTATATGAACATGATAAAAACACTACAAACAGGAATAGAAGAAAACTATCTCAAACTAAAGCCATTTATGAAAAACCCACAGCAAACATGATACTCAATGGGGATACAGTTATATTTCCTCTATGATCATGAACAAGGAAAGAATGCCTATTTTCCTGACTTCTATTCAACATATCACTTGAAGTTTTGTTTGCTTGTTTGTTTGTTTTTAAATTTCTCACTGTTCTAGAATTCATTGTTTATACACCACACCCAGCGCTCTATGCAAAAAGTGCCCTCCATAATACCCACCACCAGGCTCAACCAACCTCCCACTCCCTTCCCCTCTAAAACCCTAAGATTGTTTCTCAGAGTCCACAGTCTCTCATGGTCATCTCCCTCTCCAATTTCCCCTAACTCCCTTCTCCTCTCCAGGTCTTCATGTCCTCCATGTTATTCCATATGCTCCACAAATAAGGGAAACCATATGATAATTAACTCTCTCTGCTTGACTTATTTCACTCAGCATAATATCTTCCAGTCCATCCATGTTGATACAAAAGTTGCATACTCATCATTTCTGGTGGAGGCATAATACTCCATAGTATATATGGACCACATCTTCCTTAACCTTTCATCTGTTAAAGGGCATCTTGGTTCTTTCCACAGTTTAGCAAATGTGGCCATTGCTGCTATGAACATTGGAGTACAGATGGCCCTTTTTCACTACATCTGTATCTTTGGGGTAAATACCCAGTGGTGCAATTGCAGAGTCATAGGGAAGCTCTATTTTTAATTTCTTAAGGAATCTCCACACTATTTTCCAAAGTAGCTGTACCAACTTGCATTCCCACCAACAGTTTAAAAGGCTTCCCTTTTCTCCACATCCTCTCCAACACATATTGTTTCCTGTCTTGTTAATTTTGGCCATTCTAACTGGTGTAAGGTGCTATCTCAATGTGGTTTTGATTTCAATCTCCCTGATGGCCAGTGATGATGCACATTTTTTCATGTGTCTGATAGCCATGTGTATGTCTTCATTGGAGAACTGTCTGTCATATCATCTGCCTATTTTTTGACATGATTATCTGTTTTGCATGTGGTGAGTTTGAGAAGTTCTTTATAGATCGAGGCTATCAGACCTTTGTATGTACTGTCATGTGCAAATATCTTTTCCCATTCCGTGGGTTGCCTCTTTGTTTTGTTGACTGTTTCCTTCTCTGTGCAGATGCTTTTGATCTTGATGAAGTACCAAAAATTCGTTTTCGCTTTTGTTTCATTTACCTTTGAGACATATCTTGATGTTAGGATTTTTGAAAAATGCCCATAGAATTTTGATTGGAATGGCAATGAAAATATAGATTGCTCTAGGCAGTATAGACATTTTAACAATGTTTATTCTTCTGATCCAAGAGCATGGAATTGTCTCCCATATTTTGTGTCTTCTTCAATTTCTTTCATGAATGTTCTGTAGTTCCTTGAGTACAGATCCTTTACCTCTTTGGTTAGGTTTATTTCCAGGTATCTTATGGTTCTTGGTGCTATAGTAAATGGAATCGATTCTCTAATTTCCCTTTCTGTATTTTCCTTGTTAGTGTATAAGAAAGCAACTGATTTCTGTAATTGACGTTGTATCCTGCCACATTACGGAATTGCCGTATGAGTTCTAGTAGTTTGGGGGTAGAGTCTTTTGGGTTTTCCATATAAAGTATCATATCATCTGTGAAGAGAGCGAGTTTGACTTCTTTTTTTTTTAATTTTTTATATTTTCAGCGTAACAGAATTCATTATTTTTGCACCCAGTGCTCCATGTAATCCGTGCCCTCTCCAATACCCACCACCTGGATCCCCCAAACTCCCACCACCCGCCCCTTCAAAACCCTCAGATTGTTTTTCAGAGTCCATAGTCTCTCATGGTTCACCTCCCCTTCCAATTTCCCTCAACACCCTTCTCCTCTCCATCTCCCCTTGTCCTCCATGCTATTTGTTATGCTCCACAAATAAGTGAAACCATATGATAATTGACTTTCTCTGCTTGACTTATTTCACTCAGCATAATCTCTTCCAGTCCAGAGTTTGACTTCTTTATTGCCAATTTGGATAACTTTTATTTCTCTTTGTTGTCTGATTGCTGTTGCTAGGACTTCTAGTACTATGTTGAACAAGAGTGGCAAGAGTGGGCATCCTTGTCATGTTCCTGATCTCAATGGAAAGACTGTCAGCTTTTTCCCATTGAGGATGATATTCTTCATGGGATTTTTATAGATAGATTTTATGAAGTTCAGGAACGTTCCCTCCATCCCTATACTTGGAAGCATTTTAATCAGGAATGGATACTTTATCTTGTCAAATGCTTTTACTGCATCAATTGAGAGGACCATGTGGTTCTTATGTCTTATCAATTTGTTATATCACATTGATTGATTTGCTAATGTTGAACCCCCCTTGCAGCCCATGGATTAATGCCACCGGGTCAGGGTGGATAATCTTTTTAATGTACTGTTGGATCCTATTAGCTAGGCTCTTGTTGAGAATCTTAGCATTCATATTCATCATGGTATTGGTCTGAAATTCTCCTTTTTGGTGGTATCTTTGTCTGGTTTTGGGATCAGGGTAAAGTTTTAGCAGAACTAGAAATGAAAAGCATCCAAACTGGAAAGGAGGAAATAAATTTATCCATGCAGTCAGTGTGAAACTGTATTTACAATATCCTAAAGATGCCACAAAACACTAATAGAACTAATATATTAATTCAGCCAAATAACTGGATAGAAAACCAATCCTCAATAAATCAGTTGCATTTCTAAATACAAACTGTGAACAATCTGAGAAGGAAATAAAATAATTACATCTATGTGACATTCAATTGAATAAGGCTATCATGTTCCACCTGTCAGAATGGCTAGTATAAAATAACAATAAATAACAAGAGTTGGTGAGGATGAGGTGAAGAAGGATCTTTCATGCACTGTTTGTGGGAATGCAAACTGGTTCAACTACTGTGGAAAACAGTATGAAGGTTCCCCAAAAAATTAAAAAAAAAATTACATGATCAAGTAATTCTGCTACTGTGTATTTACCCAATGAACACAAAAACAGTAATTCAAAAATATATATGCACCCCATATTTATTGCAGCATTTTTTACAATAGCCAAGATATGGAAGCAGCCTGACTATACACCAATAGATGAATGGATAAAGAAGTTGTGGTGTGTGTGTGTGTATATATATATATATAGTTAGATGATATAGAAATAGATATAGTTAGATGTAGATAGTTAGAGATACATGCAATGAAATATTACTCAGCCATAAAAAATGAGTACTTGCTATTTGCAACAACGTGGGTGGATTTAGAGGCTGCTATACTAAGTGAAATAATCAAACAAAGACAAATGCAATATGATCTCACTTGTATGTGTAATCTAAAAAACAGAGCAGGGGCTCCTGGGTGGCTCAGTCACTTAAGCATCTGTCTTCAGGTCAGGTCATGATACCAGAGTTCCAGGATTAAGTCCCACATCAGGCTCTCTGTTCAGTAAAGAGTCTGCTTCTCCCTCTGACCCGCCCCCCTTGTGCTTTCTCTCTCATTCTCTCTCTCTCAAATAAATAAATAAAACATTTTTTTTAAAAACAAAATAAGTAAAAACAGAACAAATGAGCAAACAAGCAGACACTTAAATGCAGATAAAAAATGGTAGTTGCCACAGAATAGGTTAGGGGTGCATAGATAAAGGATATAAACAGTACAAATGAGATCTTGCTATTTACAACAGCATTGATGACTCTTAACTATTGAGAATAAACTGCTGGTTACCAGAAGGTAAGTGGGGGGGAGGATTGGTGAAATAGGTGAAGGGGATTAAGAGTATACTCCTCATGATAAACACTGAGTAAACTGTACATTTGTTGAATCACTATATTGTACACCTGAAACTAATATAACACTCCATGTCAATTATATTGAAATTAAAAATAAATCTTGAATAATAAAAAAATCAATCAAAGGCCTTAAAATTACCAAAAAATTTCACAAAATTAAAAAAAATAACCAAAATCTACAGACAAAATCATCTTAAGTAAGGCAAGAAACTGAGAAGGAAGAAGTTATGCTTTATTATAGTTATATACTAATAGAATTTAAAGCATTTCCTAGCTAAAATATCTCCACATAATTCAATAGCAAAACAAGAATCTGTAAAAATTATTTGAAAAAGGACACCTGGTAATGGGTATTAAGGAGGGGACAGATTGCATGGAGCACTGACTGTTATACATGAACAATGAATCACGGAACACTCCATTAAAAACTAATGATGTCAAAATTAACAAGACAGTAAACAACTTGTTGGAGAGAATGTGCAAAACGGGGAAACCTCATACACTGTTGGTGGGAATGCAAGTTGGTACAGCTACTTTGAAAAACACTGTGGATATTCCTTGAGAAATTAAAAATGGAGCTTCCCTATGACCCTGCAATTGCACTACAATTGCACTACTGGGTATTTACCCCAAAGATACAGATGTAGTGAAAAGAAGGGCCATCTCTATCCCAATGGTCATTGCAGCAATGGCCACAGTCGCCAAACTGTGGAAAGAACCAAGATGCCCATCAACGGATGAATGGATAAGGAAGATGCAGTCCATATGTACTATGGAGTATTATGCCTCCATCAGAAAGGATGAATACCCAACTTTTGTTATCAACGTGGATGGGACTGGAAGAGATTATGCTGAGTGTAATAAGTCAATCAGAGAGAGTCAATTATCATATGCTTTTGCTTATTTGTGGATCATAAGGAGTAACACGGAGGACATGGGGAGATGTAGAGGAGAAGGGAGTTGGGGAAAATTGGAGGGAGAGACAAACCATGAGAGACTGTGGACTATGAGGAACTAACTGAGGGTTTTGGAGGGGAAGGTGTGGGAATTTGGTTGAGCCTGGTGGCGGGTAT